ATGATTCTTTCCGTTTTCTTTGGTACTCTCTATAAAAGCCTCCGAGGCTTTGAACGTGTTAGTCAAGATAGATTTTTACCTGCAAACGTAATCTGTCTGTAGTAATGGGAAAGCAACTTCGTCAACTTCGTCAAAGAATTACTTATCACAAAATTGCTTGTCCTTTTCTGCTCTCTGGTAATTTGACAATCGTGGAGCTCCCATTATTATCCAAGTCATGTGAACTGTCTTTGCAACAGACATGGATAACCACTGTGTGAGGGCAGTTGTATACAAACCCATTGTTTTGCATAAAAAGGTAGAATGTATGAAATTTGTCTCAAATTGAAGTGTAGAGCTGGAGAGTTGAAGTTGAAGGTTTGTTGAAGAGATAATTTTCGGGGCGAATATGTTTATGGGTTGCTTGTTTTTTTCGAGTGACAAATTAAGTATCATCTATCCGGCACTGATTAACTATCAATGATTCAAGAATGGTACACGACAGACACACCAAGCGGCGTGCTTTTAAAGTAAATTAAGAAACCCCAAAAGTCTCAATAAAAATATTTTCCAATAGTTGTGCCGAGTGTGAAATAAGCGCTCCTTCGCTGTCAATCGTAGACTTTAAAAAAAAATTCATTCGATCGTCAGTAGCTTTTGTCACAATTTAGCGACTTGGTCGAGTCAGTATTAACATATTCTTTGGTACCACCTTGCCTTTTCTCGACTACACTACCAAACCTAGAGATAGATTATGCTAACCGCCTTGACAAAATCTTCTGGCTATCGATTGGGTTCGATCTGAGTGGAAGTTAACAAAGGCGGCACTTAGTTTTGATGTTACCCTCCAGTCTGTTTTGACAAAAGCCACAGTCGTGTGGGTCACGCCGCCCACGCGACAGGGGAACACCTCAACAAGCCGCTTGATCAGCGTGATTCAATATACCGCCCATTCCTCACTGCTTGATCAGCGTGATTCAATATACCGCCCATTCATCACTGGGCTACAAAACTGGCACTTGGGCGGTTGAATCACGTGGAAATTGGGGACTGGTGTGATATAGGCGATTGATTTACTGAAGGACTGAAACATTTTGCAGTAATATTTCAAACTCGGGATTTTAACATAAGGTGCACCAAAGGCTTTAGATCTACTACATAAAGGGATCAAAAAGTGATTTTCGAAAATTTGGTCACTTAGGCGGTAGAATCACGCGGCGAGCGTTATATTCTTCACATGAAAATAACCAATCAACGTGGTGTCTAACAAGTGAGAAAGCGACGAAGTGAAGAGGAAGTGAAAATAAACTTTCTTTCTAAAAGTAAAGAGGTTCGGTTTCTTTTCTTTTTTTTTTTTTGTCTCGTTTTTTTATACCCCGTTTTTATTTACGGTTCTTTTATTCCCTCGGTGGTGGGTTTTTGTTGTTGTTGTTTTTTTAATGTAAAAATCGCGGACACGATTTGCAAAACAAAAAATGTCAAAAATCGCGGCCATGATTCGCAGATGCTAGAATAATGGTCATTTAATGTTGGGGAAAAGTAAGACGGACAGAAACGGCAGGGGGGAAGAAGTATAGGACCTACCAGTGGCGCCCTCCAACCACCTTCTGGAAACAAATTATTTTTGCTAGATTATATTCTCTTGTCTTGAAATAGTGTTGCTTATTGTATCACAAATGTATGTTTTAAAAAAATATTTTGTCTACTATATTACTTTTTCTTGAAAAATCTGGAAACTTCTTAAATCACGATATCTGGTTGGCGAGAGAAAATTGTGTTCGTATAATCCCAGGCAGAGGCGGGCTTGAGTCAGCCTTAGCTCAAGTTGTCAGTTCCTGCAGTCGTGACTTATTTTGTTACTATTTGACTATTTAATTTGTGGAGAGTAAAGGACAGAAACATCCACCCATCCACACCCCCACCCCCCACCCTTACTCACAAACACAAACAAACACACGCGCTGTTTTTGTTCGTCCTACGCTTTTGAAGACATGACAATGACTTCACAAACTGGTCAGTTGACGGTGACTGTGTGTCCGGAGATGGCTGATTAGGCACATCCGGTCTCGGATTCTTAGCCCTCAGTGTGGGGGCACGGGTGGTCAAGGCTGTTGGGCTTGTGGTGGAGGCACACACACACACACACACACACACACACTCATGAAACCTCTGAGTGACCCTCTCGAGTAGATTTAATTTAGTAAGCGACGACAATGGTGTACTGTTGAGCCTCTTTGACTGATCACACATAGAAGAGGATCTCTTCTTAGCCCGAGTGGGCGAGATATTGTTTTTCGACTGTAGATGTTCATAATACAGGGAACTTTGGTTGGCGGGAGGGGGGGGGTGGATGAAGAGAAATGAAAATGACTAAACTTCTCTTCTGGGGGGGGGGGGGGCCTTAAGTGATATAATCTAAGTATAGGTTAATTAGTACAAGAATTCGACTATGATAAGTTAATTTGTTGACTGTTATTAAACAGTGGCTCTGTAGCGACATGATACGAGGACATTTTGAGGGAAATGACTTCCTTTTAGGTTGTCTTTCTTTAAAGTGATATATGATAAGATAAGAAGATAATACTTTATTATCCCAGAAGGAAGTTTTTCTTGGCTGTACGGGACCGTAAAAACACATGCAGGTGTACATTAAAAAATATAATACTCTCATAATACGTAAAGTAAAGACAGGAGCTTGGATTTTCTCATCAGGGGAAGAAAAGAAAATTGAAAAAAAGAAGGTCTCGATCTAGGACCTACCCATCCAGAGTTCATCCAGTTTCACACAGCCCGCATCGCGTTCCCACCCACCCCCTCCCATCCCTACCGTAGGCCAACCCTCGCCCATCCTCTGGGCTTTGGGGCCCATATTAGGAGGCACACTAGATCTAGTAATACAATGTGTTAGGAATCGAGGATGGGCTTTGTGCTTCGCATGAGATGGACAGAAAGGAGAAAAATTCTTCGCTTTTGGGGCTGCTAGATCTAACTGCTTTTATTTGGTTATCGCGACCTCGTTGAAAGCTACTTCGGTCTGTTTGCAACCTCGTGGGAGCTGACGTACATTTACAAAGAGACAGATGAAAAAATCGGGGATTAAGGATTACCTCGTTGTAGCCGACTTCTCGTTGAATGCAACACCCACTGTAATTCTGGGGTAGCGAGCAGTCAATGGTGGAACAATTACAATAGCGACGCAAATACAACAGATTTAAGATGCAAGGTGAGTGCTGTATTTCTTTATTGAACACATAGTAAAAATCAAGTGATGGAGTAAACATAAAACAGTGAGAATCTCTGCCTTCAGGCCATATACAGTATAACACGGATAGCTCGAATTCATCGGGACCGGCCTCGGTAGTTCGAGTTCGAGGGATCCGTAGTTCGAGGGATATCTTTCAAAGATAAAGAAGAAAAAAAAACGCGGGACAGCAGGCACAATTCGACGGATGCCTGATTTCAAGTTTTCTGTGTTTGACCTATCCGTGTTATACTGTATTATTATTTTGATAATATTACAACATTGCCATTCATGCATGCAGATACACACACACATATTGTCGGTCAGCTGTTGAGATCATCTATAGTGCCCAAAATTTTGACAGCAATTTTTATTGCACTTTCTCATCTATTGTACTTTGGTATGAGTATGAGTTTCATTTGCTCAAGAAATATTTTATTGAAATTCAAATTCTAAAAATGAAGAAAAAACCAAACAAACAAGGAAAGATTCATAATGTAGGTGCAATTGTTAAAAGGATGAGACAGTTTCCCCCCTCCTACCCTCGAAAAATTTTGTTTTTTGAGCTTGCTATAATAGTTAAACAGCTTGCCAATGATGATATTTCATCAACTTTATCAGAAAAATGAACACCTGTACTCTGCCCTAAGCTGACAAAACACATTTTTTTTCATTTTTAGTTAGTGCCTGATCAGTTATCCTACTTGTGTGATAAAATCAAAGTAAAACTGTGACTAGTTTTTAAAAAATGAATTAGAGTTCAAATTTCGGAGGAACGCCTTTGTTTTAATGGTTACGCTGACAAAATGCCTTTTTTCTCGAAACTGCTGTGAATAAGAAAAAGGCGTTTTATCAGCGTAAAGCAGCACTGCTGTTTGGCCTAGCTTTTACAGGGGCAGTAAAAAACAAAACAATTGGAGTTTAATATTTTTCCAACAACAGCAAAAGAATTCAGTTTTGTTTTAGTAGAAGTTCTACGGCGCTCACAACTGGATAAGGTCATATGAGCGCCAAGGGGTGGATGTTAACAAAGAAGTCTTTACAGGGAATCAGACTTACTCTGCTCACCTCTCTAGCTTCAGCAGCACAAAGTCTGCTTCGACTATCAAGGCACCTCGGAAATAGCGGGTCACAAGAGTGTGACAAACATACAAAAGAAGTAGAGGAAAATGACGATAGTAAGGATTAGGAAAGAAAAAGCAGCAGTTCCCTGTTGTAGTTCAGGCTCAGTTATGAGCATGACATTGTTGGATCAGTCCATTTACAATTCTACTGTGCACTAGAACGAGAAATGTCCCCCCTTTGGGAATGGCCTAAAGACACTTCAGTCAGTGGCACCACCCCGGGGGGTGAGATTTCAGTTTACAAACCTCGGATACAACATTCCAACAGACAGACTGATATAATGAGATATACTCCATAAAATAATGTTTCCGTTCGGGAATCGAACTCAGGCCTTCTGCACGCAACAGCAAAGAGCTCAACTATTCCACCACAGATGCTAATTCACCACTGGGTGAACTCTATGAAATACTTGAGAAATCTTCTTAGAAACACATTGCATTCCCATCCAGATGATGGGATTCTCCATCTTGTGGATACCCGAGAAAGAAAAATTAAATGGATAAAATGCACTTCAGCTGCAAACACAAACACACTGTTGAAAAACTGACAACAGATAAAACAGTAATGAAGACAACACTCAGACTGAGAATGTGCAGTGCATGCGTGGTAAGGCAAAATAGAACCAATAGCATGACTCAGAAAGCATTTTTTTTTCTTTTTCCATGTGACCCACATCAACCCTCCCCCCCCCCACACACACACATACACCTTTTTCCTCACAATATCTACTTTACTAACTTATTTTACTTTTTTCTGTCTTCTGTTACATTAAGGAGTCGAGGGGTGATGTAGTAAGCCTCTTCCTCTTGTTTGTTGTTCAGCCTATTATAAGGTTTCATTGTTCTTGTCTATTTCTCTGACTCTCTGACCCTCTTTATCCATCTTTTTCTTTTAACTCACTCACTGCCTGCCAGATAAATGAACAAGCTTAAAGATGATATTTATTAACAAAAACTCCATATGCCAAAAAATTGTTGGGCGCGTGATTCCACCACATCGATGCACATTTTTGTATTTTTGTATTGAGAAAAATCTGATGGTGCAAAAAGATTCGATATTGCTGATCAGATCCAGTGTTTAATGCAAACCTAGTCGATATTCCGGCGACGTGAGAAACAATTTACACCACTTGGTGACACTTGTTCCAAGACAAGCTCCTTAGTGTCAACAGAAATGAATCAAATTAAGGGGGCTCGCGGGTCAGGTCTAGGGCCTCGGGGACTGATTTTGCAAGTTACAGAATTGTAAAAAGTTTTTAAAAAATGGTGGAGAAAAAAAAATTGTCTATCCAATTTTCAAGATGGCCGCCATTTCCATGGCAACAGCTTACGTAATCAAGTGTGTCAACAGTTGAACATGAATCTTATGTCTCATACTTACTGCCTGTGACAAAAGTTGTTTCAGTTTGTCTTTAGTTAAAAATGTTGTCCCATAAGTATCGAGCCCCTTTATTAAAGAACAGTAAACGAAATCACGACACTTGAATACATGTCCCCTTTCAAACACTGAAGCGGGGAGAAAAAAAAGAAGAGAAAAAGCACGTTAGAACATGTGCTTTTTTCAATCACAACCGAAACGATCATCTTTGGCAAGTTTCCTGTTAAAGAAAAGGAGGGTGACTCATCCTGCCCACTCACTGGCCTGCCTTGTTCTTCTTGTTCTTTTTCTTCAGCTTTTTGTACTTTTCCTTCCCATGATCCTCTTGGCGCTCGTTTTCTTCTTTTCCGATACTTTCCTCCTCCATGTTGTCCAGGGCAGCGGTGAACTCGTCGTCTCTCGACGGTTTGACGTCTCGTCCTGAACAACAAAGATACAGAAGGAAAAAAATGAGAGGAAGAAAATGATACTCTGTTAGTTTTTTTTATTAGTCAGAATTTTTTTACCGGAACTTGCAACACAATATGGTCATAGAAGTGCTGAAGATTAGAGGTGTTACAACAGAAAGTAACAAACACAAAAAGAGTAGGAGAAGATTTAAGGACGACACATGTTTTTAGTTTCGGTTTTAGAAGAGGTTTTACGGCATTCGTAACAGCATAAAGTCATGTGAGCACCAAGGGGTAGATGTCAAAAGGTAAGTCCATACAGGGAATCAGGCTTACTCTGCTCACCTCTCTAGCTTCTACAGCACAAAGTCTGCTTCGACTATCAAGGCACCCCGGAAATAGCGGGTCACAAGAATGTGACAAACATACAAAAAAGGAGAGGAAAAATGACGAGAGTAAGGATAAGGAAAGAAAAAGTAGCACAGTTCCCTGTTGCAGTTCAGGCACAGTGATGAGCGTGACATTGATGAATCAGCCCATTCATAATTTCAATTCTACCGTGCATAAGAACATGGTTTATGTCCCCACTATGGCAATGGCCTAAAGACACTTTAGTTAGTAGCACTGCCCCGAGGGCTCCGACAGATGTTTGATAGGAAAGAAAGAGCACACCTCGCCAGAGCACCCGCCAACCACCCACACAACAGTCAGAAGTGTACAAGACAACCATTCATTGTTGAGAGAGAGATAGAGAGAGAAAAGTGAGAGAGAGATAGAGAGAGAAAAGAGAGAGAGATAGAGAGAGAGAGAGAGAGAGAGAGAGAGAGAGAGAGAGAGAGAGAGAGAGAGAGAGAGAGAGAGAGAGAGAGAACGGAAATGTTTTTCTATCTGTATAGAATAGAATTAATATTTTAATGGATGTTTCTAGTTACTCACGTTTCAACTTTATTGTGACCGTTCGTGGATTTTTATTGCATTGTATATTTTTAGTGAACATATTTTCAACCTCACTGCGAGACTGTTTTTCTCATATAAAATTTTACACATATATGCATTTATATTATAAGTTATAATACTTTGTTTTAAGTACACACATGTCGATTAATTTTTAAGATGTGATGTCTTTTTCGTTGTAATGCGCATTGAGCATCTTTTAGAAAATGGAAATGCGCAGTATAAATGCTATTTGCTATTATTATGGCCAAGCGATGTTTCGATGGCATGCCGTCTGAAAATCGTAGATGATATTTCCACTGCATGCTGTCTGAACATCGGAAGTGATACCTATACGGTATGCCGTCTTGAATCTAAAGATCGGAATTTTTATTTCGACGGCATAGACTCTGCTTGAAGTGTATCAATGCAAGAATTGTGTTTGTTTTCCAGGCGACGAATCGGGTGATCATACCTACCCGACCTGACCCGATCCCATCCGCAAATGGGCACCTTACTGTTGGAAAAAAACCAGTCTTCTCTCCAATAAATTGTGCATCTCTCACTCTCGTTACATTTCATCATTGTCCATAACGCACAAAGTGATAGCAAAGGATAAACAGTGTTAACTAAACATACAGGTATCTTGAATTGCATCTATAATAATGCGTTACTAATGGAAAAGAGATTATAGGCTTAGTTTTATATAAATAGTCCGGATGTTCTGATTGGTTGAATTTATGTGCAGTGGAATTATCACTTCCGATTTTTCGACGGCCTGCCGTATAAATATCCACTTCCTATTATTATTATTATTGTGGAGGAGAAAGGTGGTCATCTTGGACAGGTGGTCATCTTAGACAGGTGGTCATCTTGGACAGGTGGTCATCTTAGACAGGTGGTCAACTTAGACAGGTGGTCATCTTAGACAGGTGGTCATCTTAGACAGGTGGTCATCTTAGACAGTGTCATTACAATATAGAAAAAACACCAAGGGAAGTGGGAGGCAGTCGTTTGTAAAGGAGGTGACTGCCTTGGACAGGTGGTTGTTTAGTTTTAGTAAGAGTTTTATGGCACTTGCAACACAATAAGGCCATGTATATAAGTGCCGAAGTTTAGAGGTGTTACAAGAGAGTAACAAACACAAATACAAAAGAGAAGGAGGGGAGATAAGGACGATAGATGTTTGATAGGAAAGAAGGCGCAAACCACATCAGAGCACCCGCCAACCACCCATTGCGGTTGTTTGAGCAGGTTCCCCTGCACTTTTTAGAAAATGAATTACGACGTGGCGGAATCAGGCTGTCTTCAATTTTTCATTTTCGGCATGTAGAGTTTTATAGGTATCATATTAAAGCTTGTTCATTTGTCTTGCTTTGGATGAGAAAAGTATCCATTTATCTTGAATACAAGTCGAGATATTTGTGAATGAAGGAGGAGGGGGGTCACCTGGTTTTAGGGGTACAATTAGTGAGAAAATGGCTGTCAAAAATGAGTTATTTCCTTAGCTTGAGATTCCATGGAAACTGAAAATTAACCTTTTTTGTGCCTTTAATCAACTTTTTTCAGTAAAATCCAAACAGAAATGCGTTCTTTTAATGGCAGGAAAGGCGTTGAGCCGAAAAACGAAAATTCGATAACAATTCACAAACCTGAAGAAAATGCCAGTTTCTTCACTTTGATTATTTTGATGAGCGCCTGATTTCACCACGCTGCCTCACAAATATAAATTATATGCCTGCCTCCGCTTCCAAAACACATGAATACACTTTTACTTTCACTCACTCTTTCACACGCATACACACACACACACACATGCACACACTCAAAAACAAATATTTTCACACATAAATAAATATTTCCACACAAAATCATTTCTCTCTCTCTCTCTCTCTGCCCCCCCCCTCTCTCTCTTTCTCTCACACACACACATACACACACACACATACACTCAAACTAGGTACAGTACCAGAAACTAAATTATCAAAGTAGCTATGGTGTGAATATGATAAACTTAACTGCAGCAGTTTCAATGTATAATCAAAACATTGCAAAAAAAGGCTTATTGGCTGCAACCCCATGTTTCACAGAGAGTAAAACAGTATCAAATGCACTTAACACCATGTATTCAATAGACACACACACACATAAATGGACAAGAAATACCAACTCTCTCTCTCTCTCTCTCTCTCTCTCTCTCTCTCTCTCTCTCTCCATCACATACAGATGAACACTGAGCTATAACAAGCGGACAAAGTAATGAAAATAAACTAAAGTATGTGCCTGTGTCTTTTTAATGGACAAAAAAAAAAAACCACATGAGAAATTCATGTAAAAAACGTAGATAAATACAAAATGAAAACCCTGAGGATGGGTATATCAGTTTGTAAGGCTTGAAAATGTATAACTTCATATTTCTGGACTTGATCAGAAATGAAGTAATAAATCTACAAGATTTAAAAATTGATAACTTTACAATTAACATTTTGTGACTGTGGGCGTTTTTGCATTCCCAGGGACTCCTTGAATGTTTGAGAGTTTTGAGGGCTATGTTTTAGTGATCTTGAGTTTTAGGACACTTGCAGCATAATTAGGTCATATAAGCGCCGAAGATTAGAGGAGTTACAAGAGAGAGAAAACGTAATAAAAGGAGGAGAGATTAAGGATGATAGAAGTTTGATATGGAAAATGGAACAAACAACACCAGAGCACCCGTCAACTATCGACTTTTGAGTGCGCTACGCCTTAACTCATAGACTGAAGAGTCAGGAAAACAAAGGGCCACATGTCCTCACCTTTCCTTCCTTGAAAATCCTGGCCGGTCAGGTGGTCCAGCCGGAGGGAGATGTCCACCATGGCTGACTTGACAGATGCCTCCATCTGCGACTGTTGATTCTTCAGGACTTTTGAGTCCTCGCTGACCAGTTCTGAAAACAGTTCCATGAGGCAGGAGGAAATTTAAGAATCTTGAAAAACATCATTCAAAGAATAATGAATTGGACTGTGATGAGTAGGTTTAAAACTCTAGAAACTCAAAATGTATTGTTAACTGTTGAAAAATAAGGTAAGCTTACTTCACTTACTTTACTTTTTCGATCCAGCGGCCATCTGGGTTCTAACCCTTCAGCCTATTGATATGGCAAAGAACTTACAGGTTTTTATCAGCTGCGTTTTGTGGCTGTTTAAAGTATTTCAGATACCTGGGGAGGCAGGTAGGTTGGTGCTACGCAGGTCACTAAGTGCAGGGCAGGTAAAGAGATGGTGTGGTACAGTTTCATCCTGGCAGTCACACAACGGGCAGTCAGGTGGGGTATCCTTGCGAATCCTACTTCTAAAGGTAGGAATTCAGTGGGATGTGTTGTGTTCGCAGGCAAAAGATAGTGACTTGTTCTCTTCTACTCTGGGAATTTAGTGCGTCTTTTGAGTTGGGAGCAGTCATGTGTGCAAATACAGTTCTTCCAGTTTTGCCCAATGCCCATCCATTCAGCCACTGTTTGCTGGTGTTGTATTTGATGATGTTCTTGGTTGTCTGTTGTGATACAGGGTTTTGAGGTTGTGTTTGTGAAGCTCCCTTCTTGGCAAGGGTGTCTGCTCTGTAATTTCCTGGGATGTTGCTGTGGCCAGGTATCCACTCTAAAGTCAGGTCAATGGCATAAGTTTGCGTGAAGGTGTTAATTGTTAGTGCCACAGATAGGCAAGCTGAACTTTTGAAATTCATGTTTTCCACAGCATGCATTACTGATTTTCCATAGAAGCTGTGAAGATTATAGTGCCCTTGATTTTGTCTGGATATATTATAATAAAAATGTTGGTCAGGTGGAGGACTGCTGCTTCAATGGTGATGGCCTCAGCCTCATAATTTGTACAAGAAGTACCACAGGAATCAAATAGTTCTTCACTTGCCTTGTCAGGATGTTCTATTCTTACCCCAAAGCCTGCAATAATAGTTCCCTTGAAGGCTGACCCATCAGTGTAAATATGAATTGAATCACTAGGGAAAGAATCAATTGTTTTGAGAGCTGTGGTCATCAGTTCTACTGGGTCACATTCCTTTTCTACTGTCTCCTTTATGAGGGAAGTTTTGATGTTGGCGTTCCTGATGTTGTTGTTTGGGGGGAGTTCTGGTCTTTAGGGTTTCAGCATTTCTCTGTTAAATGGAAGGTGGTGTTTTTCTACAAATTCGGTGGCTATGGCTAGTATATAAGGCAAGCAAAACTAAGAATGAGCTCAAGATAGGATTAGAAATCAGTTTCAAATCTTTTCTGAAATGTGTTCAAATTCACTGTAAAAATGCAACAGAAGTCTACTTTTGTGATATTCATATACTGAGCACAGCCAATAGTGAACACTAAGATAAAATAATAGCCTACATTAATACCATATATGAGCCATTGCCAAAATGTGGGGAAAAACACACACATCTCTCAATAGTGTGCATAAAATGTGATGCATTAGTATTTATTCCTCCAAAACTTATACACATGTCAAATATAGGATGTAGAACCTGCATTAGCAGTTTCAGACCCTATGTCAGCTTTATAATCTTGAGTTTGTAAATTTTGTGCCCAAAATGTTCGTTTTTTTAGTGATTCCTGGAGTGTCATTTTGAGCACACCAATGCAAACTTCCAAGAATGTCGAAAATTTAGTATTTTTG